CAAGCTCCCGCTCTTCCGCGAGGATACTCCGAAGCGCTCCTGCCCTTCCCTTCGCGACGCGCAGGCGCCGTGCTCAGCCCGCCCCTCTTCGCCTCACCCCCCCCGCCGGTCGGCGCATCTGTTCGCCCCATTGCTGGGATCCGACCTGGTAGAGCCGGAAGGGTACAGGCTGGCTCCGTTTCGGCGGCCGGCGTTGCCAAAATAGGCAAGCGAGCGCTTAGCCAGCTTGTTCTCGCCTGCCTGAAACGAGGCAGCTGTCAGCCGCAGGGGAAAACTAGATATCCACGTGCACATCGATTTATATTTAATCTAGCCGCTATCTTCAGAAAGTCGAAACAGCGATTTAGTGTGATTTTTACTCCCCGGGATTTTTTTTTTTTAACTACAGCGGACGTGTGTTTTAAAACAAAGGACTTTTCCTGCCTCCGCGATTTCATCTTGAGCAGAGAAGACGACTATTGAAGATAGTACACACCGCCCCTTTCACGTAGATGCAATCTGAATACTCCCTCTAGACTCCCACATTTGTTTATTTAATTTATATGCCGCCCATCTCCCCCAGAGGGCGACTCTGAGCGGCCCACAATTATATCGCCCTGGCTTTAGCGTCAGGGAGGTTCAGGTGGCAGATGTTGGAGCAGAAGTGAGATGTTGGCTGGCAGAATTACTTTGTCTGCTTTCAGCATTGTACCGTACAGCTTATCCTTAGGTGCAATGGAGGACACTATCCTGTTCCTACTTTCCACACAACATTCACACTACCAATCTGGTTGCGTATCTGGAGTTGGAAGAAAGCCTCTGTCACTTAGCAAGCAAAATGTCCTGGGTCATCCTAGTTCCACAGAGGTTAATAGATAACCAAATCTGACTATCTAATAACTATATATTAGGTTAGCATCTATTCTAATGTCAGCATTTTGTAGAAAGTTTGTTTTCTGGAAGAGCTTCTCTCCCCTTATCTATGTGAGACTCATAAATTTCATCAGTAAAACTTACCCCATTATGAAAAAAATCTTGTGATTGTATATCCATGAAGTTGTTCGCAGAACATAAGCCCTATTGGAATTAATGGTAGCCAGTCTATGGATTCAGTAACTTGGAATATATTAAAATATTAAAATATTTGCTTTTCATTTTTTTTCATTCAAGGTTATGTGAAGACTTAATTGTGTTATAGTTGAATCAAACTGAATCTGAATCATCTATACAGAATTAGAATATTTAACAAGGAAAGACAGGTTTGGGCTTTCCATCTTTTTGATATTTTCCAGCTGAGAGCATTCTCAAGTGGGTACACCCTAGCAAGTTATATGCTATCATTATTCTAAATATGTAGAATTCTACCACAGGAATTTCTGCGTTTGAATGATTGAAATTAGGGGGTAATGCTGTAAAACCAAAAGACAGTCCTTAGGATAACTTCACACTTCAATTCTTTTCTTTGTAAAATGCAAAGTTTTTAAACACATACTGTTACCACCAAGTTATCACCCCAAATTCTAATTCCAACCCAGTTTGATTAATTCTTTTCTGTATAGCCCAATAGGAATAAGCATGGTATTTAATAAATAACAGTAATAATCAACCCCTCCCAAATTAAATCAGAATTCTCTCTATAAATCATGTGATCTAGTTTACAACTTTATTTATTCTATTTTTATTCACCACAGTTACAAAGACTCAGTGGTTCACCCGACAATAAAACATCCACAATAGAGTAGGTTACAGAAGTGATATAAATACTTTAAAAAATCATTATAGAAGCCTAAAGAAATGATGGCATTGCTCCATATTCTCCAGCCTACAGGCTCTCCAAAACAGCTCAGTTTTTAAAAGCTTATAGAAAGCCAACAACATCAAGGCCAATCAAATTTCAAGGGGAGGCTATTTTGGAGCATACTTACAGAAAAGAGGTGTTGTTAGCCTTATCCCCCTTTCCTTCACATAAATGGGGAATCAGCCAGTTTCTCATAGAATTTCCCAATCAGGTGAGTACAGTCCTATTAGTCCTACAAGTACTTGGGTGGTGAACCATTTAGTGCCTTATAGGGTAAAACTAGCACTTTGAATTGCCCTCAGAAGCTTAGAGGGAGTCACTGCAGGGCCTGCAGCACCAGTATAATGTACTTATGCCAGGTATATGAGTCAACACCAGGGATGTTGAATTCTAGACCAATTTCAGGCAGTCTTCAGAGACAGACCCATGTAGTAGGCACTGTACTAGCCCAGACAAATGATGATTATGGTGTGAGTTACAACTGTGAGGTCCTCTTGCTCCAGGTAGGATTGCAACTGGCAAAGGCCCACCTGCTCTTGGCCTCCACCTACCCACCCAGCAGTAACCATGGATCCGTTCTTTCAAGTTAGTGCCACCTGATTGAGATACAATTGCAAAGCTGTCAGGGCACTTCAATGACAAACAATTTCATCATTCTTGGATTTAGCCTGTTTCATCCAATCCCAACCCTATCAACCTTCAGACACTAAATCAAGACATTGACAGCATTATGCACAGCCTGAGGTATGATATACAATTGGGTATCATCACTCTACTGACCTATCCTGTACTGTGGAATTATCTCTCCCAGAAGCTTCATGTAAATATTTAAAAGGAGGGGCTCAAATAGAAGTGCAGCCTGATTGCTAAAAGAAATCTCCTTAATGTATCCAGTGTGCTACATTTACTCAAATCAAATAATTAGTTTATAGTGAAAATATAATAGTGAGGTCTGTGTTTTAATGACAATATATCAGGAAAAGAGCTGAGGATGCATTTAGCCAAAACAACTTCCACATTTTGTCTCCAGAATTAGAAGCAGATTGCAGCAAAGATGGCATTAACAGTTTTCCTCACATATTTTCTTCTTTAATTATTGTTATCATGATGTCAATATATTTTCAGCACACATCCACATAGACAAAAAGAAGTAGGAATATGCAGAAATTCAAATCCAGATATGATAGAATTTTTGATAGTTAAGCAATCTGCTTTCTGTTATTACAATAATCTGAAAATAGGGCTTCACCAACTACATGTATCCATTATAGACAGATTTGCATTCCTACTGAAAGAGCAAATCTGTACTTTGTAAATACTGCTGTCTGAAAGCTACTGCTTTCTGAAAACCTGAATTAGAGCTGTGGTTGGAATAATCTTTCTTGAAAATAGAATCACTGTAATTCATACTGTAGTAATTTCTTCAATAAGCTACTATAAACTACATTATCATATTTTGATTCCAAAAATGCTTCCTCTTCCTCAGATAATTCTATGCATCAAAGACCAAATAAACTGGCAGTTCAAATGAAACCTAGAATGGAATTTGGCAGCTCAGGTCAGAATGTTGAAGTCTGAACCTGGCAGATCAGCCTTGCTTAATCTGAATTGTACCATCTTCTCTAACCGCAATACTGATTTCTTAACAGATCACTTCACTGGCCAAATTAATAAAATATGGACCAAATACCAAATCTATTTGTAGCGTATTCTAGTGAAGCTATCCCCAAAAACAGCCCAGAAGCTACAGTTAATGCAGAAGACAACTTCCTTGCTTTTTTTTTTTTTTTTACTAGTGTCCATAAAGAAAACATTACATTTATTCTGGTTTAATTAGCATGGGTTACTAGTTGTTTCTCAGACAAAAGTCAAGGTGCTTTGCTTCAGTGCCAGTTTCACAGGTCATTGGAGTAAGATTTGTGATATTTCTTGAGTGTATTCTTCTACTAAGCATTTCCTTGTCTCTCTTGGGCCTATTTCATATTTTCTCCAAGAAGAAATAGATAAACTGTGGAGATTTTCCACATAGTTTGCATTGGGAGAACAGCAAGGACAAAAAGGAGTCGAGCCAATAGCTTCCAGATATTACGAGGTTATACCCTTGATGGGAAATGAGCTGCAAGTGTCTAGTGTTGGTACATTTGCACATCTTCTTTTATGCCTGGGATTAGACTGGAGGGATACATTTTTAAAATGTATATTCAGTCAACTGAAACTTCAGGAAAATGCATTAAACACATTGTCAGATGCAGATGGGGTTGAAACAACTATTTTACCCCTAATGTTTTTGACTGTCTTATCTTTTTCCCATTCTAGGAAGGACACAATAGTGGAGATTATTCTTATTACTATGAAATCTCCTTAAATATTACCTCAGTTCCATCATGTACATAACTGGGTTAGTGGTAGGCTAATATATTATGAGAATACCAGGAGGAATCAACTGACTCCATCAACTAACCCTGAGGGAGTTGATATAGACTGAAACAAACCCAGTATTGCATATGATTAAATTAATACCACCCAGTTAGATATGTCACGGGAATATACACGCCTAGTTAAAGGCCAATTTTGCCTACGTAGTCCTCTAAGACAGTGTTTCTTAAACTTTTTTCTCTCAGGACCCCATTTTTGGCTTCTGGTGGGGACAATGGCAGCTTAGTCATTTCTGTATAGTGTTTCTGGGACTATAACTTTAAAAGAAGAATTAGAGTTTTATTGTAATTTAAACAACTTGCAAAAAGAGGGAAGATAAGGAGAATACAAAAAAGATATAAAAGTTACTTATGGTGAAAGGGGAAGATTTATATGTATTTATATATTATAAATTTAATTTTACGAAACTCCATTGTATTAATTGGATTTGATTTTTCTATGGGAAAACTTTTGTTTTTCTGTGATATGTCTGTTATTTGACTGGATTTTCAAAGCAAAAGAAGATAGTAATTTGATTTTTTTGTGTATTCTCAGTTGGTGTGTGCTTGCACTTATAGTCTGAAAGGCACCGGAGGGCGTGAACTGTCTGCTTACTTTCACTTATACAATACCTACTGTGGTTTGCTTTGGGAGGAAGAAAAAAAAATGGCTAGAAGAGGCCCCTTGAAGCAGCAGTTAGAAGATAAAATGACTTCTTTAAGTTTACTCCAATCAATGTTTGATGAATTAGGAGCTAAATATAGGTCCCTTGAAAAGAAGATAGAGAAAAGATTGGATAAAATGGTTAATTTTGAAATGGAGGTAGAGATTGATTTGAATGTGGATTTGGAGTTCAAAACAATGCTGGATTATGAAGGTGATATGAACAAAGATGTTGTGGATCTGAAAATGGATTTAAAAATGCCAAAGGCTAAGAGTGATATGCAAAAGGATGCCAGAATGGATTTACAAATGAAACCAATTGATGTCACCATGATCAGAGGGGACATACAAATAATGGAAAAGAAGAGTGATTTGGAAAGACTTTTTATCTTGGATTTGCACAAGGAAAGTGTTGAATTGGTGAGGTTGTTCCTGGGAAGAGACAAAGAGAAATTACTGGAGCTGTTTCTGGAGAAGACAAGGAGAGAATGACGGGGAATCAACCTGTGGGACACTATTTGAAAGGATTAAAGATTAAGCTCTTTAAAAGTAAACAGGAGGTTTACAAAGTGAATTTGATTATGGTTAATATATATATTGAGGTTTTTGGTAGTTATTAACGTGATCTTTTTCTGACCAGGATTGAATGATGAGGTTTTAAGGATCTGTGTATAAAGGGGGATAAATTTCATTTTTTTTAATAGAGAAAATTATAAATTGGATTATAAAATGGATTTATTTTTGACTAAGTTAAAATATATTTGTTATTAAATTTATGGAATTTTTGTTCCTATTTATTTATTTATTACATTTGTATGCTGCCCATCTCCC